GAATGTGGGTAGCTGCTGCTCACATTGAGAAATTTCTTGGAGAGCATGATAGAAGGAGAAAGGCAATGCTCCAACTGCATAGCTCTAGAACCTGAACACTCGCCCTCCCGTCCCTGGTTTTAAAGTCCTGTTTATCATAAACTAGAAATCCACAGACCCTCACTAGACAGAAAGCACTTCAACCAGCAAATGCTTCTCAAAGGTTTGATTTACTTTTTTTTTTCCCTGGGAGAAGAGATTGGCCAATTGACACTATGCAGCAATCAGAAAAGGCTCACTTTTGATCTTGCTGCTTATGCAGCCTATGAAACGGCTCCTGCCATTGGTTAACTGCTGACAGTAATTTAATTAGATAGACATTAATTAGGATAATCACCTGGCTCCTGGTCGCGACGATCATGGCAAATTGAAGGGGATGATTTTATTGTTGGCTTGGGGGGTGGGGAATGTGTGTTGGTTTATGTGCGCTCTGTTGTGTCACCTTTAAGCTTTATGACCACTGCTTTAGGAAGATTCAAAGATGTGCAATTTACTAAACATTTCCTACCCCCCCTCCTTTCCCCCGTTAGAGCGGAGGGGCGGAGGAGGGAATTCGATGATGCTAGGAGACTTTTCGGATCTGAATGAGCCAAATATTCAGTTGAATGTAACGATTTCAAGTGCAAAGTATACAAAGCGCGAGCCGGTGGCCTCTTCTCGCCCTGTATAAGTTCCAGAATCTGTCTTTTCCAGTTAATACAGAAGCACACAACACCTGAGACGGTGCTTTGTGAGTAGGTTCTGCGTGTCCTTGACACCCCCTTCCCCCACCTTTTAAACTACATACATAAATAAATAAATCACTGCTGCTGAGAGACACAGTGATGAGTGGAGGGGGGAGAATTGAGGGGATAAGTGGGGGCGAAAAGTAGCAACTCACCCACCCACCCATCCACCCACCTCGGCAAGGTTCGGTGTCTTGGTGGAGCACAGAAACAGTGACAATCTATGATCTCCTTTTTAAGTTTTTAAATAATCATAAGCTGTCGGGCTGCAGTGACTTAATCTATTTGCAATGATGTTTATCGGGTCTTTCCTAAATATTTTATCAGCCAACTTGGTTTGCAGATTATCTGAACAGCATCTAACTGGGGGCAGGCGCCATGCAGCCTTGAGTTCCAAGGCACCTCTTTCTCTGTGAGGTACTACTGGCTTTGGCGAAAGGTTCAAAAGCCTCGCCGGGAAAGGAGAGGACCGAGTCCCCGGTGCAAATGGGTTCGCCAGAAGTGTTGGTCTGGGGAGACAGAGTGGAAGTGGTTTCAATGCAGTGATTTTACTGAAGACTGTGTGTGTGTGCGCGCGCGTATGCGAGTGTGTGTGTGTAATGTTTACATAATCCGGAGGGGAGAAAAGGAATCCACGCCAGTAATTTTAAGAGAAAGAAGAATCTAAGGAGGAATAGAGAAAAGAATCAATGTAAAGAGATGTTGCCACCAATAAATAGCAAGAGGCCCAAAGCAACTCTGAGGTGTAGGGAGAACTGATCTCCGGGTACCTGCTCTAGAGGAGTCCAGCCATCGGCCTGAACCAGACGGCCGAGAGCTCCAGAAGCTTTATCCGCCCACAGCTGATCCCCGCGGCTTTCATCCGGGACGCGACGCGGTGCGGGAACGCGTGGAGCGCAGCGCCGGAGCTCAGGCTCAGCCTGGCCGAGAGAGGCGGCCGGCATTGGGCGTGCTCCGCCCGGGCAGCGAGAGAGCGCCCGGAGGCGGTGTCTGGCGCAGACCCCAGAGGCTCGCGCTCCTCCCGTGCGGCGGGCGCGGCCTGGGCATCTCGTGCGGGCGGAGCCTCTCTGCTTCGGAGCCAGCGGTCTGCTCTGGGTCACACCAGCTCCCTCAGGGAGAGCGGGGTTGGGGACATTGGGTGGGTCCTGGGCATGGGCAGAGAGGGGTTAACCAGCTTCGCGGCTGTGGTGCAACTAAGAGCAGTGTCTTGGACTGATGGTCAAAGCCGAGCCCAGACTGCACCGTCCCCCTCCCCTCAGCGGGCTGGGCGCCTTGGCGGCAGAGGGCACCAGCTGCGGCCTCCAACACCGGCGGCTCTAGGCTGGACAGGTTGATGACCAGATGTCTCAGACTCAAGCCGAGGCAAATTTTCTGGGAGAAAAATAAAGCCAGACCCGTTTTCCCTTGAAAGCAAACCTCAGCTCCAGGCCAGAAAGCTTCAAAAACGAGCAGGATCCTAGCTATTGAGAGACTAGGGTACCAGAGATGGGGAGAATAGCTGCGACACCATTTGACATTTGTTTTCATACCCTTGACCTTCCACTGTCATTTACACAGAGAGGCTTTTGCCCCATTTTGGCTACTCGTTTTATCTGTCTTGCATCATTAACTTCCCTGTCCCTGTGTCTGTCTTGGATGCTTCCCAACACATCTTCCTCTCTGAGTGGGACATAGCACCTTAAGTATGGATGGAGGTGAGACACCCACCACCTCAGTGATTCTTGAGGTTTTATCCATTCAGGCGTCCTGAACTTTTAAAAAAGAAATTAAAGTCGAAGTGGCATGTTAAAATATTAATAGGATAGACAAGGAATCAAGTGCAAGTGCACCTTCCTCAATTTTCAAGAAATTGCATTGGAAGATGATAAATTTTGGCCCACGTCAGATAATCAAGTACAAAATTCAGTGGTTCCTCAAATACAGGCTTTTCCTTGAAATTTGTGTATGCTCAAAAAGAAAAATGAAGACACTGCTCAGGATCACAACGTGATCATGCTTCTGCAGACGAGTTCTCATTTTAAACTGCCCATGAACCATACTAGGAGTCGCGATTGTGACTGCAGGGCTGGGGTGGGGCTTGGGTTCTCTCAATATAAAATAAGCTTCCATACAATCCAAATGTTATTGGTCCAGGCAGATCAAACTCTGAATAGTGAGGCTGGAGTTTTCAGTGTCCCATTATTAGTCTGACTCTCTCTGCCATAGTGGCAAGTTTTCCTTCTAGAGCTGCTTCAGCTCTGGCATGGTGGGTGGATAAGAGTGCTCACATAAGCATACCCGTGTGTACACACGCATGCACACACATGCACGTACACAATCTTAAGTTGCTTATTGAGTCTGGTTTTTTTAGACAAGTTGGCTCAATGCTGACCTGGGCCTGGGGCATCAGGCTGCTGCTCAAGCAGTTGCACAATCCTAGACAATGGTGTTTGCAGAGCCCTTCCTTTTAGGACATCTGATTTTGATCGACTAACTCAACAGAGAAGATGTAGGAATGACCAAGTGGAGGAAGTTATATGTGTGTCTTTGGGAAACAGAGGAAAATAGGTGAAGAAATAAGGGCAAAAGATAGGCACTATATAAAGCCTTCCCAATCACAGTACTTATTGAGATTATTTTCAGGAAACCAAGTGGACAACAAAACACAACTCTTTCAACCTGAATGTTTGGACCAGCTATAGAAATGGTGAAGCTTCCTTCAATACCATACAAAAAAGTCCTAACTAGCTCTTACCAACAGTATCTGGAAGTTATAAAACCTTATTTATAAAGGGAAAAAATCACATTATCTAAAAAACCTTGCCTGGCATGGTGCCGTACTCTTATAATCACAGCACTTCAGAGGCAAAGGAAGGAGGACTGTTGGGTTTGAGGTGAGCCTGGGCTACAAAGGGAGACCCTCTCTCAAATAAACACAAAATGAAAAACCTGTACCAAAATTTGAATTAGTAAAAGGAAAATTCTAACTTCTTATTTTTGGGAGAGGCAGTACTATGGCTTGAACTCCTGGCCTCATGCTTGCTAGGTAGTGGTTACACCACTTGAGCCACTCCACCAGTTCTTATTTTTATTTATTTGGAGACAGGGTTTTGCTATGTAGCCAGTATGGAACTTGCCACCATGCCCAGGTTAAACTTCCATTTATTTTAATTTTAAATGGTTAGATGTAATCCCAACAACTTAAATCCATATACGTGTTCTAATAAAAAATATACTGCATCACTAAAAGGAGAAACTACAGGACAAGCAAGAAGTACTCAGAATACCACATTCCACCAAAAATTAAACTGTGAAACATATGAGGAATTTAAACCACTTCTACTTTCAGTTTCTGAAAGCCGACAACAAATAAGTCTAGAATTATCCAACTAGGACAGTAATTTGGTCTACCACAACATTCAAAACACTACTAGCAGGTAAAGTCTTAAGTTGAAATCCCCAAGTAAAACCACCCTTTCATTAAACCTTAGAAATATTCTTACCATATTTCACAAGGAAAGGTGCACTAGAAATAAATCTCGTTTTCATACCTTTTGTCATACTCTTTGGCGTACCCAGCATGGTGCTATACCAGGAGTTTTAACAGGGGTAGTTGCCTTTGTACATCAGTTTAGAAGAAGGCCGAGATCTATGAAAACTGCTACAAGTGAATTTTTCTTCTCTATCAGAAAACTGAGTACTTCTAGTTAATTTGGGAAAGACGCGAGGAAACAAAGTTATTATTGCTCATAATATTAAACTTGCACTATGACTACTTATTTTGCTTTGAAGATATTATATACCTTGAATGGCTATCTTAGACGACAATCCAGTGGGGTTTCCAGAAGCCAACTCTCAGTTTCAAAACTTGGTGGCATCTTAAAACATGAAAAATTCTAAATTAAAATTGCTACCCTTTTCCTTTTAAATGTACTTCTTTGAAATCCTTAAAGTATGATGTGTTAAGATACTGAATATACAATGTTAGCTTGTGAGAAATGCTTCCCTCCCCCCCACTTTTTGTGAGAAATGCTTTTAATAAAATGTCAACATTTTTTCTGGGTTACTCACTAATGAGGTAGCCACTCATTAATGGCAATCATTTTGCATTTGTGAAGTTTTGTTATCACACTGATGTTTTATGTATTATGAGATCTTAAAATGCACAGGGAAACACATCTTTGTGTGAGATTTCCAAAGCACTATGAAATGTTATTTTGTCAATTCCACCCAGTGCCAAAAAGACCTCAGGAGACATGGGTTGTAAATGTACTTTATTTTGTAAGCAACAATCAAAATATATTTGTGCTACTGACTTCTTCAAATATTAAATGGGATCCTAACAAAATCTGTCCACTTTGATGTATTCTCGCACAACTTTGGAATCTGCAAAGATCCTGACTAAAGAACAGAAGTAATTGTACAATGGAGACTGAAGGTGTAACCATGCTGTAAATGATGCCAGATGTCTTACACTTAACCAAGTACACCTTCAGAGGTCCCTTTATTTTGAGCATTAAGAACAGAGGAATATATATTCAAAGTGTCACTAATAGCTTTTTGCGTTGCTTTATTTAAATACGACAGTATCCAACATAGCTGCTAAACATTGGACAATATTTGAAGTCATAAGTACATCCACATGTTCTTCCAAATGACGTTTAGGATCCTGAAAGAAAAAAAAAGTAGGAAAAAGAACTGTATTACCAGTAAATAAATTATTTTTTCAGTAAGTTGTTGAAATTAGTAAAGAAACTCAAATTTATACATACTTTAAAATATAACTTCCCTAATACATTGTTACATTTTTAGGGTTTATAAATCTGTTAAGAAGTTTAGTAGCTAATAAATAAAATAAATGCTAATAAATGTACAATGAAAGATTGATTTGTACAATTACTGTTATACTTCTGTATCACAAATTTTTTATAAAGGGTAATAAGGAATTCTGTAAAACTTGCAACCAACTGATTTTTTAAAAAATACACTTATATATATGCATGCCTAAGTATGTGTGTGTATTCTCTTCTATTCACATATTTTAAATACCTGAGGGGGGGTGCTTTATTTACAGCATAAGTAAGAGTTCAATGTGAATTCTTTCCACTTTTTTCTCTGTATCTTGGCAAAAACAAGAATTCCGTATAAATTTAATACTTCAAGAACAGTGCTTTAAATGAGTCAGAAAATATTTTTGGATCAAAAGTCACTGTAGATGATTCTAAAATGTTAACAATGTTTTATGCAACTATTTTGAGAAAATGTATTATAGAAAATTATATAGGTATAACCCTTAAACTTAAGCCTAATCAAATCTATTTTTGAAATACACCAGATTTAAAAATGATACTTGAAAAATGCATTGCAATAAAGAAATTTAAATTAAAATGCTTACTTGTTTTTGTGTTTAAGGATAAATGAAGTATTTCAGATGAATTTGAAAGTTTTAAAATAAAGGAAATATATTGTACAAAATAAAAAACATTAATTTTAAAGCATTATTTTCTTGTGGGTGTTGTTAAATATCCAAGATAACTTTAAGTCAAATGTTCATACTGGAATTATTTCTTGGCTGTGCTTTTCTAACTTATAATTTTAAAACACTGATTTCTTTAAACAACCCAGAGATATACAAATAATTCCAAGTGAATAAACCACAATATTATTATTAGTTTTTTATTTTAGAAATATGGCTTAGTACACTGTAGGTGAAAGGTATGAGAAAGACTGGCAGCATAAAAAGATAGTGGGGTTTGATTCTATCATACATAGTTGTCCTTTTGTTATGTAGTAAGCCAAACCAGTGAGTTACTTCCTACATTAAAAAAATTATTCTGATTGTTAAACTCTGACAGCTATATATTTTTCAGTTTCCCTTTTATTTTAATTTAGTCCTTTTATTTTGCTACTAATTGTTAAGTGAAATCTATATCAAGAAACTATAGCCTCAGAAAGTAATTTATTCAAATAATAAGGCTCCAAATCAATGATCTAACATTAGTTATCAGACTGAAATAAGTAGTGGAAAATGAAAACAAGGCTAATATCATAAAAGATGAGAAAATAAGACGAACTACAGTTCTTTGGGTCTGGGAGGGTACTCTGCTTTTAAATTATAATATTCAGAATGTGCTAACATTGTATTTCCTCATTTATAATATATGATGAAGTTAGACCTTTGCCCTCCTCACTCTGTTGGAGTAATTAGTTTTATAGTGAACTGGTAACTCATTTATCAGTTATCTACGTTACTTCTTGTGGCAGCTGGGTGATTCTTAGAGATTTTCCATCCAAGAATGGTCCTGGCCCAAACCTACATAGCTTGTGAGATGTGATGGGATCAGAGCATATGGTAGGATGGCTGAAAGCAAAGACAGCTTAGTGTCTTGCATCTGAAATATCAAGATTCTGCCAACATCAGCAATATGATAACCATGTTCCATGAAATAGAAAAAAAATGTAATCAACATTCTTTAAAAAACAGTCTAATTAATCTGTAGATTCCTTTAATTGGTTGGTATGTTCCCCCATCCTTAGATAATAGGAAATTATATATATATATATATATATATATGTTTAATCTTAGAAAGTGAAATAACAAATACTTTTAAAACCCTTTTCTTTCACTCAGTATACTCAATCTAGTTTTAAGCCTTCTCAAGTATATTATCTAAATATTGAAAAAATATCATTTACAAAACTGTTACACATGAAATAAATCTACCATTTTAATATTTTACTTGCTCTATATCAAAATTAATTTGGAATTAATTTATTTCTACTAAATTATTTTCACTAAGAGTAGTAAGCCATAGGTATATTTGTGATTTATTCTCTATAGATGGCAAAGAGAACTGGACACTGAGTAGATTCGATGGCCTTTAAAAGTAGTATCATATGTACATGACAAAAGAAAAATGTAGAGTGAACAGGCAGGAAAGAATCATATAGGCAGGCTCAAAAATAGTTTTGACTCTGTAAGAGCATGTTGTTATGCGACTGTATAACCTATTATAGTCTCCCCACCTGCTTGCCAACATTCTTTATTGCCAGCTGTTCAGGTGTCATCTTATCTTCTTCTTCTACAGCCTGTGAATAAAACAAAAAGGACAGTTTCAAATTCTAAATTTACTATCCCCACTGAAGAATAATCACCAAAATAACAGTCATCAAAAATTTCACTCACAGAATCTAATTCAAAGAATTTATTGCACAAAAAAGCAATTTTGCTAATCTTCAGGATAATGAAAACTGACTTAAATAAAAAAGACATAATTACCAGCACTGAAAAAAAAAAAACAGACTTAATATGTAAAAGATATGCAAAAAGTGATCAAACTACATCACTAAATGGTGCATTAACTGGAAACCATTGCAAGGAAGAATGAGGCAGCCTCTTACGGCACATCAATAACAAGATCTGTCTCCCCTTTTCCTACTCTCACAGTAGTCCTCTTCCAAGTTTCTATTTTTTGTCAATCCGGCCTGTGCACATCTAATACCTGTCCTTTATAACAACACTTAGGCTCAAGAGAGCTGCTGACTTTTGATCTACTTAACAAATCACATACTAATCTTTCACGTTTTTAAATCCCTACAAGTAAAACATGTATTCAGAAAGCAAAATCTCCCCACTCCACATGAGAATTTTTAAAACCATGAAGACACAGTAATTTCAAGCTTTCAACATCAAAATAATTACTTGAATTAAAAACCAAATTAAATCAACCAAAAATAACCACATATGTAAACCACTTTCTACTACTTTTGGAGTTAGCTACAAACCCTTATGTGTCTGATAGTAAACTTTCTTTGTGGGACGGTGCTGGGGTTTGAACTGCTTGCTAGGCAGGCATTCTACCACTTCAGCCACATCTCTAGCCCCTGATCATAAACTTTCTAGCAGAATAATTCTGAAATAATTACATTTAGATTAGCTACCACTACTACTCTCCTCTCCCAGCACTAACACAAAGCCCTCTTCAAGGGACATTCTAAGGTTAAGGAATCTTCTTACAGTTAAGATATGTTACAGCCTAAAGATAGGACTCTGTATTTGTTAGACTTGTGATCTATGATTTACTCATAGCATCTGATAATGGAAAACAAAGAAAACGTAATGATCACCAACCTCAAGAAATGCCACCAGTTTTTACTACAAAAGACGGTTACAAAAGGGGGTGAAATAGTAGTGACAAAAAGCAGAAAACCAAAATCCCAGTGAGGATTAGATTTGGATACTCTAAACTTAATAATCTCACAGCTGCCAAATTTCTTCATGTGTGAACAATGAACATGTAGGAAATGCAATCATCAGACATTTCCCATAAACTGGGAAGTTTGGATGCATTTCACACCTTCTTAATAGTTTTGTAAACAGAGAACTTGAAAATGAGCAAAGATGGCAAGTGTCTAATTTTATAAATGGACAAGCTATCTAGAGAATTTTCCCCAGTACAACCTGACTAAAGAGAAAAGATGGTACTAAGTATTATGTCTACTGATTACATCACATTAGGAATTACATTTATGACACATAAACCTGAAAGAAGAAGAAATAGAAGAAGAAATAGAACTTAGTAACACTTCAATCTAGAATTCCCTAGACAGTGAACATGTTCATTTTCAGAGTCAGAAGTCACTCTTATTCTCCACTCATTATGAAAGTATTTCCCAAACAGGAAATTGGTTCTTCTACTTTCAATGTTCTACACAAACAGAAATATCTTTCTAAATTACTTTTACAAATTGTGATATTATACCTTATTAACTTAAAAAGTATTAAATGTATGGGACTATTTACATAAATTTGTACTCCATACCCATTCAGTGTTAGTTGTTCTACGTACATGCCAACAATAGTACTTACTACAATATTGGAAATAGGCAAGAATTTTGGATTCTGGCTTAAAATACCAATCCACATATAAATAGTTATTAAAGAATATTTTGGATTAGTACAAATATTAAAGATGGCAGACATACAAAGATGAAGGTCAAAAAGCATTTAAAGCACTAATCCTATTTGAAAAGATAAATGGGCTAGAAAAGGCTCTAATAAAATTTTAAAAAATCTTTACATCATTTTTCACCACTTTACCAATTAGTTTTTTATTCCCAATAATTAAAAGAGAGAGTTCACAAACTCTTTGAGAAGTGCAGATGGTAAAAAGTACTCCCAGCCATGGATGCCATCTGGGAAATGAAGAGCAGCTGTAGATTTAGGCATATACTAAGGTTGCAAACCCCCATGACAGAAGAGTAAGCACATCTCTTCTAAGACAGACCAGATCATCACATTAAACCCCTAAATATTTTCTCCATCTACCTAAGTTACCTATATCTCATCTACCATCTGGGCAAGACCAGTTTGTCTTCATTCACAGTTCTAATCTGGCTAGTCACCAGGAAAAATTAAGAAATAGTAGCAGCAGAAACAAATGAAATTCAGGCACAGCCAGTGTCCTCACTAGGGAACTTCTGTGTTTATGGCAACTTCTGTGATTTGGCTTCAAATTTTGCTTTTGCATTCATGCTCTTCGGTTTACTCAACCAACAAAAAAGCACTGAAAATGTTTGTGGCTATTCACACTAGAAACGTTTTAACAGTTTATCAACAAAGACCCCCATATGGCTATCCCATCATGCACGGTCTGCACAATTCTAAGAAATTCTTGGAATTTGGTCTGTTATGTGATCATAATCCCCTCAGATGTACCCCCTATCTTAAAAAAGACTTTTACTAAACCCATTAACCTTATTCTCTTTTTTTCTGCTAATGGTCAAGTTTTTTAGATGGAAAATCTGTATCTCAAATTTCATTGTATTTACCCTAAAAAAAACCCCATAGATTGGACCCTTGTCATTTCACTAATTTTCACTTTGACTATTCTCTCATCTTCTTTTTTCCCTATTCTTTGTTCATTGTGTAACATGCTGTAATTCCACTTAAGCACATGCTTTCTTTCTTTTATATTTTTTTCTTCTTTTGGTGCAACTGGGGATTGAACACAGGGACTCCTGCTTGCTAGACATTCACTCTACCACATAGCCATGGCTCCAGCCCTTAAAGCACATGCTTTCTAGTATCACCAATATGGCAATTTTCATGTAACACAGGGCAAACTATTAAAATGGAATATCCTAATTTTTCTACCAGTAAACATTATGAGTTACAGGGATAGAGAATAAGTTTAAAGTAATGGCTTTTTACAAAACGTACTTAGGAAAGCAAAATGAACAAACACGAAATAATTTGCAAACTATCTGAGAAGGTTTAAGAGGCTTGGGTAAGACCATTAAAACTGTTTTGTCTACTATCATCACTAATTAAAACATCAACATACACATGATTTACAATTTAATTTACTGAATTATTAAAACAATACCAATAATGTAGTCAATCATTTTACATATAAAGAAATTAGGCACCATCTCCTTGGGGTGCCCTAGCTAAAGCAGTATTTCTACCATAAAAGAAACTTTTCAAACTCTTCTTGTTTTCAAGAAGTTCACAATTGGACTAATTCACTTGCTGTAAATCCCAAATCATAGTACAGTATGAAACATACAAAAAAGAAAAAAAAGTTTCCAAAAAGAACATATGGGACCTAGAGTTAAGCAAATGTATCTAACTTTTCTTTGTGGATCGCCTGGGGTCAAAAAGAGTCAGGGTGAGAGTACCCAGAATTCACCCAGGAAGGAAGATCACATCAGTATTACTTTCTGGCAACAGGGAAGAGAAAGACCCTGGAAAGGAAGAGATAAAATCAAGCTTTGAAACAAACATGATACTTAGGAAAATCAGAGTGCTGATGACAGCAATACTGGCAAAGAAACTATTTTGAAGTAGAAAGCAAAGTAAACAGCAATGTTCATTCACTCTTAAGACAGGAGCATGGGAAGTACATGGTACCTCTAAGTTGAAAGGGCTCAGTGGAGATGAGAATAAATACCAAGTAGAAGAGAAAAAGAAATTTTGAACTTGCCATCAGTGCTAAAGCATAAAAACAAAAATTTTTTAAAAAGTAAAAAAACAGAAAAGGCAGCAAAATGGTAGTTGTCAAAGAGCAGAACCAGTGGGATATATGGCCGTGTAAGTAAAGGGAAGAGAGTTAAAAAGTTCAAAGAGCAAGGCATGGTGGCTCATGCCTATAATATCCCAGCTACTCAGGAGGCAAAGATAGGAGGATAAAGGTTCAAAGCCAGCCTAGGCAAAAAGTTATAGAAGCCCTATCTCAAAAGCTAAGGGATATGTCTCAAGTGATAAAGCACTTGCCTAGCATGAGCAAAACACTGCTGAAAAAAAAAAGTCAAGCATGGTAGTGCATGCCTACAATCCCGGTTACTCGAGAGAGGAGGTAGGAGGATCACAGGATCACAGCTGGAGGCCAGACTGAGTAAAGTAAGCTCAAGACTCTTACCTGAAAGTTAGTGGGAGAGTTAATGCTCTTGAATTAAGTTATGATTTCAGTAGAAAAATCACTTCCGTTCATTCAACAATTATTTATTAAATGCCATTTATCTGGCGGTGGGCTGGAGATAAAAAGAGACTTGAATTCAAAGAGCTTATAGACTACTTATAAAAACGGAAAGTTTAAAAAAAGTTAAATAAGTCGGACTATAAAGAAATGTAAATAGCACTCATTTGTTGGTATGGTGAAGGTCTCAACAGTGTGACAAGTTTAAGTTGAGACCTGATAGGAAAAGTAGGAGTTGGGATGAAACTGATGATAAGGAGTGTTTCCATAAAGTAAGAAAAAGCATTATAAGTTAGAAGAGCTGCAAATTATTTGGGATTGCAACAATATAACAGTGGCTAAGAGATAAAGCTGCAGAGACAAGCAGGAACCAATTTATGCTTGAACTTTTTTTCTACCACACAGTCAATCTTCAAAAGCTTTAGAAAGAAGGTAGTGACAAGAACCAATCTGCATTTTTAAATTAAGGTAAATTTTACCTAACATACATTTAACCATTTTAGAGTATACAATTCAGACATGTAGTACATTTGTAATGTATAAGCATCACCTCTACCCCCAAACATTTCACTCTCCCAAAGGGAACCTACTTCAAAACAGTTACTCTCC